CAGGCAGGTGAGGAGGAAGTCAGAGCCTTTTTGGGTGGGTCTTTTGTGGCCGTCCCTCCGGGGCCGGAGTTGGGGGGATGTCCTTGGGCTTCCCTGTGGGCCGGAGGCAAATCCCCTGCGTGTCCTTGTTGCTTCCTGCCCCAGGCCCCGAGGTGAGGCCGGAGAGCGCGGAGGACAAATCCCCCCTTGAGACCCTGGTGGGAGAGGCCGTTTTGAAGGGCTCCCCGGCGCAGGAAGGCAGCGGGGAGGAAAAGGGCCGGAGATGCCCCCGCAGGAGGGGCTCCAAAGCCATCCCAGGGTGCTCTGAGGAGGAAAGAGCCAGCCTGTGCCGGGAAGGTGGCCAGAGCTTGAGGCAGAGCTCTGACCTGGTGGTCCCTGATCAACCTCCCAGCCTGGAGAAGCACTTCAAGTGCTTGGAATGTGGGAAGAGCTTCAGGCAGAGCACCCACCTTCTCAGCCACAAGCACATCCACACTGGAGAACGGCCCTACACCTGTGGGGAATGTGGGAAGAGCTTCAGTGACAGCTCCAACCTCCGCAGTCACCAGCGCATCCACAGTGGGGAACGGCCCTACACATGTGGGGAATGTGGGAAGAGCTTCAGGGAGAGCTCCACCCTCCATGTCCACCAGCGCATCCACAGTGGGGAAAGGCCCTACAAGTGCTTGGAATGTGGGAAGAGGTTTCAGACCAGCTCATATCTTCTGAAGCACAAGCAGACACATACAGGGAAGTGGGCCTTTCACTGCACCGAGTGTGGGAAGGGCTTTAACCAGAACTCAAACCTTGTCAGCCACCAACGCATCCACACTGGTGAGAGACCCTACAAGTGTGGGGAGTGTGGGAAGACCTTTACCCAGAGTTCTCACTTGACCAGACACCAAGGGACCCACCGATAATAGGCTGCTGCTTCCACCCTGAATGAGCCCCGTGATGGTGATGCAACCCCTGGAGTTCAAGGACTGTCAGTCTATCCACAAAGGGCCAGTCCCCTTTCACAGGGGCAGCTTCTTCCAACAGAACCCTTCTTGGGGTGTCAGTCCTGGAGCAGAGATCTCCCCACCAGCATTGGTCTGGGGGAGGTCCATCCGTCTCTACTTAAGAATTAATGCTTTTTTGCCAGCTTCAACAATTGGCTTCAACAATTGCTTTAGTGTAGAGCACTGTCCTATCTTATCCTGTACTCCTGGTAGTTTTAGTGTGTCTATTGTGCAATAAATAATTCTGATGAAGATCTTTTGTCTGATCATTTGGAACCCTAAATAAATTCATTTCTATCAATAGATCTGTTTTGCCATCATTAAAACCTGGGCGACAGAAGTTTTTCAGTCGCACCTCTGTAATTCCTCTAAATTGATTCTGTTGGCATAATTGAAGGCTGAGGGTGGATCCAGCAGCCCCCAGCACCCCACAGGAAGTTGGAAGCTCAAGGCCTGCCCCCCCCTTTCCTAGCCCCCTTGTGCCCAAAGACCCCTATGGGACTGTGGGACCTGCCAGACTATCCCTCCTTTTCCACCCTTTTCCCTGTTCCTCCCACTTTCCCATTGTCCCCTCAATCTCCAATTTTCCCCCCAAACAGTTTTGGGGTCCCAACCCTTACTTTTTGCCCTCTCTCCTGTGGGCGCTGAAGGAGAAAATGAGGCTGCACACACAGAGTTCCATTGCAGGACTTGTCCGCCCATCTTTCTGGCGTCCCTCTTTCATTGGGGTTCCTTTGGAAACAGCACCTGGGCTTTGTCTTTTAGTCCACTGGAATTCCCAGCATGGCCCCAAAGCAGTGCCCTGATCCCACACATTCCCCTCCCCTCATGTGCTGGCTGTGTTCAGCCACCAGAGAAAAACACAGAGAAAAAACCATGCAGAGCGTTCCAAGTGGTTTCCACTTTGGCAAACAG